CCGTCATGATTTTCATATGTCGATCCAAAACGACGATCATGGAAAAAACTCTGGTAAATATTAAATCTTGTACTCCATACGATATCGTATCGATACCGAAAAAAAATATTCCCGTCGTTTTCCAATCGAATATCGAAAATTTTTCTAATAATTGTAAATTTGTAGCAGGTTTAACAACGTACGTTGATACGTCATCTTTTTTTTTTTTCTTATTATTATTATTATTATTAACGGTCAAATTATTATTATTATTTTTCCCGCGTAAATTTTCCCTTTTGAAATTTCCGCCGCTCTCTTTAAAACCCCTTATTAAATTCGATATTGGATTGTTTTGTTTTATTTTCTGCCCTCTATCGGTCGTTTTATGAATTTCATTAGAGCGCGTTCTCAAATTCAAAACAAAACTTTTTTCCGAATGATGTCTTTCGATCATTTTTCGTATCGTTTCATTTTTACCTTCTTTCGCGCCATCGCCGCCGCCATCGCCGCCGCCATCTTGACCGTTTATGGTTTTTTTAACGATCGGCGTCATAAATATACCTTCTTTTGTTATTATTAATTGTACAATGGGAAGTGACAATTCGTGAGTTTTAGCATGTTTAACCATAAAATCAACGGGTTCTCTCGTATGTTTTATTCCCCATAAACCTCTCGCTTCATGTTGTCCTAATAATTTCAATATAAATTCTTGCGGAAGGTCATTTTCCGTTACTTTAACATCGTCCTCGTCCATTGTTTGATTACTCTATGGAAATAAACAAACAAACAATAAAAATCATCACCGCGATGATAATAATAATATTTAAATTTTTTTTATCTTTGTTTAAACCGGATGTGAAACGACACGAAATTCATCACCGATTAATTATTTTGTTTTTGTCTGCTTTAATATTTATTTACGACGTGTTTTTAAACATTATTTTCTAGTATCGCCGCCATCTTTTTTATATCATCAGCGAATTAATTTTTTTTTACGTTATTGCGTAACGTTTTTTAAAATAAAATTTCCCATTGTAAATTATCATTATTATTTTGGAATGACTTTGAAAATGAAAAAAAAAATTTTTTTACAATCTTAGCGAAACGAGGTTATTAGTTTAAATAATTAATAATAATAATAATAATAATAATAATAATAATAATAATAATAATAATAATAATAATAGTAATAATGATAATGCGACTGTACAAAAATATATATCATTTTCTTTTTAATATTTATTATTATTATTATTAATGAGAAACAAATTGTCACGTGGTAGTTTGAAAATAAATAAATTAATTATATTAAAAAAAATTTTGAGTCGTTTAATAATAATAATAATAATTTAAAGTTTAAAATTAAGACGAGACGAAATTTTCTGAAAATATTAATCAACGTTTATCGAAACGCCCCCTTCTCCCTCCTCCCCCCTCCCTCCAAAAAAAAAAAATTACAGAAAATTTACAGAAAAAAAAAATCTCTTACGAATAATAAGAATAATAATAATAATAATAATAATGAAATTTTCGTAACTTTTTTCTTTCTTTTTATTAAATAATAAATTCAAAAACTTGGATTAGAAATAATAATAATAATTGTAACGTGTAAATAGAAAACAATAATTAAAAATATTTCCGGACGTGTGTATAATTTTATTTGTTATTACTAAAAATAACGACGTGGGAAAACATTTTTTATTATTATTATTTAAAAATAAAAAATAATATTAATAAAGAAACAATAATGACACGAATTCATTTTTAAAAAAAAAATGTCGAAAATATTTTTTATTTACATTTTATAAAAAAAAAAGAAAAGAAAAATTCGCACGAAGTTTTTTGTTGAAATTTTCGTGGTAAAATTTTTTATTAATATATATATAAATAAATATAATAAATAAACCAAATTTTTTTTGTTATGAGTTCAAAAATAAAATGTTACGTTTATTTAATTAATTATAATAATAATAATAAAATGTAGTGCGCGATATCGTTTGTTTTTTTAGTTTTGTAAAAAATTAAAATATTATTACGAAATTTTAAATAAAAAATAGAAAATTATGAAAATAATAATAATATTATTACAAATTACAACTTGTTAAAAAACAAAAAAAAAAAAATTAAATGACATAATTTTTTTTTTGTTAATTTAAATTAAAAATTTCCGATTTGCTAACTCGATATTATAAAACTATTATTATTATTATTATGGTCAGTCTTAAACGCGACGAGGCTCGTATTTGTCGGGATTTTTAAGCATTTTTCCCAGGTTTTTACCCGACGATTCCTTAGGGATTATTATTATTATTATTAATCATTCGATAATATCTTTTCATGTTAAATCATTTCCCTATTTCGCTTATGTAAAAGTAACTTTAGTAAAAATTTAAATAATAATGTTTAGCTTACCTTAAAACCAATATTGTTTAACTTATTTGAATTTCAGGTACATCAATACTCAGGAGCACAGCATCTTAAATCTCATGAGATTTATCTTTTTTTCAACCTGTAAAATTTTAATAAATTATTAATAACGTTTATAATTTAAAAAAAAAAAAAAAGGAATTTTTCTCAATCGTTTTAATTTAAACAAATTGAGTGACATTTTTAATAAAAAAAAAATTGTTAAATGTCCACGACAACAATTAAATATTAATTTTATTATTATTATTATTATTATTATTATTATTATTATTATTAATTGAAAAATTAATTCACCTGTTTTAAATTATGAATTTATGTAAAAAATAATGTGTCGTACAAAGGCTACAACTAAAATAAAAAATTTTACATTAATAAAAAAAAAGGTACGTTAAACACCTGAGTTATTCAATATGTGAATTTTAACTGAGGAAGTCCATCCGGTTGTCTATGTAGATTTTTTTTTTTTTTTTTTTTTGTATTCCGAAATGAACCTGAACGAATGAGGGAATCATTCAAAATTATTATTATTATTACACGACATATGTTTTTTTTCCCTGCGGATTTCTTCCGCTTTTTGTAAAAACGTTTTCATAAATGACTTTATTTAAAATTTAACAATTTATTAATGCAAACGTCATGATTTTCTTCTTTCGAGATAAAAAAAAAAAATCTTAATCATCTAGAATTTTAAATTCCTGAAAACGAAACAAAACAAATTAATAAAAAAAAAAAAAAAAAGATGGCGGACGAATAACCCTTCATTGTTAAAAAACGTTCAACCGGGAAGATGTGTCACGGAATAGACATTGAAAAAAAAATTTGTTTTTTTTTCTATCATAACAACAAAAAAAAAAACCGTTAATTTAAATTTTGTGTTAAGAAAATAAATTTTATTAATTTTACATAAATTTTTATGACGTCACAAATTAAATAAAAAAAAATTTTCAATAATTCCACACGAATTTACTTAAGCCATTTTTTTTTTTGCTTTTCTTATGCCACGAATTAAGCCCCTAAAAATTACATAAAATTTTTTTTTTTTTTTGTAAAATAACGAATAATAAATAAATAAAAATTTATTATTAAATAAATAAATAATTAATTAATGGATGAATTTATTTTAAAATAACAATCGTAGCAAGCATATTACTACAATATTTTTATATGAAATACATTTCGAAAACAATTCGTTCATTTTTTTTTTCTCATAATTTTTTTATTTGGTAGGGCTAATTACATAAATAAAAATTATTATTATTATTATTATTAATGGTTATAACTTTACGATATAAATATAAATGGAGTGATGATAATAATGCATATCAGTCTTAAAAGTTATCAGGTGGAAAAAAGGTGATTGACAAGGATTTTGAAAAAAATAAAAATCCTTAAACGGTACCTTAAAATTTTTTTTCGGGAGTTAAACGAGTTAAACGTTGTAATTATCATATAATTAATATTAATAATAATAATATGATATGTTAAATAATTTATAAATTTTGTACGTCGTTTAAAAGTAAAAGTTTAAGTGAATGTTTTTATGTACATAATTATTATTATTACAATCGAGTTGTTGTGTTTTTTTATTTATAGTTTGTTTGTCAAAAATATAAAAAAAGGTAATTTTTTGTTTTATGAAAGTTTGGAATTGTAATTTTTTACGACAGACATTAATTACTTAAAATAATTGTTTATACATGTGAGATTTATGAAAAATACCAAATTGATCTTAATAACTATGAGTATCATTATTATTATTGATAACACCCTTGTTACTTTAATCTATATCATTTACAATTATAGTGCCTAACTTTTTAAAGTATGTATACGTAAAAAGGATAGAGAGAGAGAGAGAGAGAGATTATAAACTTTTAAGTAATTTGTTTAAGCTGTAATGACTATCATTTTGTTTTTTTTTTTTCATATTAAAATCTTTGTTAAGAATCATGAGTAGATTTTCTATAATAGAATTTTCTGTATGAAATTATTAATTTAAAATCAATAATAATAATAATCATTCTAGAATGTTTTTTCTTGTTTCTACAATATAAAGATTAAGTTGTAATGGCAAATAAATCAGGTAGCACATGTATAAATAATTTTTCCTTTATCTAAAAAACATATATGAAGGAAAATATTAGAACAAGTTGGGTTAACAATAAAAGTTGTTATACATTTACCCATGAGTTATGTTAATTTTTAACAAAATGTGTAATTATAACAATGTTAAATTTAAAATCAACAGGTTTTTTTTTTTGTAATAAGTTATGCTATTATTACAGTTTCAAATGTTTTAAAACAATAAGTTTTCATAACAGGAAAATTATGAGAAAAAAATTCACATTGAATATAGAATACATTTCACCTGTTTAATTTGTAACACTAAAATTTTTTTTTTTTTTCATTATTGTGATGTTATGTAATTAACTTCACAAGTTTCTCAAAGTTTTATTTTTGATTTAATGTATATGCCCCATTTTTTTTTTTTCAACAAACTGGGGGCCCAATGAAAATCAAATTGTAAAATTGAAAAAAAAAAAAATTTTTAATATGAATATGTTTGATCATCAAATCAAAAAATTTTGTTTATAATTAACTTATTTATTTATTTATTAAAAAAAATTATTATTTTATTTTCAGTTAAAAATGGAATTTCCTTTGCTACTACTTACTTTAGGAATCCCTATAATTATTTATGTAAATGCTGTAAGTATGATTTACACTTACTATTAGGGAGCAAAAAAGGTTTGGATAAAACTTCATTGTTCCAAATTTGATATTTTCAGCAAACTGAAAAAAATTCTAGTGAACCTCTTCCATATCCAACCTACGAAAGAATTCCTAGAGGATTAACTTTTACATGTAAATCAAGGGGACCTGGATACTTTGCAGATCCTGAAGCTGGTTGTCAGGTGTGGCATTGGTGTTTGCCATCGGGTGCAAAATACAGTTTTCTTTGCCCTAATGGAACTCTTTTCAATCAGCGAGTGAGGTAAACCATAAAATTTAACTATAACTCAACACCCACCCTCCAAAAAACACTTTAAAAACATAAAATCTAAACATAATAATTAAAATCAATTTGGTAAACGATCCATTTTGAATTTCGAATGGCCGTTAAAAAATTAGTTCCAAAAAAATCCGCTGAGCGCGTACACGTAAGCAAAACAAAGAGAACGATTAATCGAAATTATCGAAACAATAAAAATTCGTTAATAATAATTTAATTGTTTAATTAAAAAAATTAATCGTAAGTTATTTGATACTAAATTTTTTATAATTAATTAATACAAATTTGTGCATTTTAATAATAAATTGTTTTTTTTTTTTTTTTCAGGGTTTGTGATTGGTGGTTTAATGTCGACTGCATGGATGCACCAAATAATTATAACGTCAATGATGATCTGTATAAAAATGCCGATGGAAAACCTATATAAAAAAGAAATTAGTTTTTTTTTGTTTGTTTGTTTGTTTTGATTTGTTTTGTTTTATTTGTTTGTTTGTTTAATAACCTTAGCAATTGGAAAAAACAAAAAAAAAACCTTTCATTTCATCCACACTTTAATTTAGAACAAAAATTTTTTCATTTTTTCCAATGACAATCATCTAAAAATTAATTAAAAACAAACAACAGGATATTTTTTATTTTTTTTTTCGTTCTTAATTCAAATTACAAAAGTATTAAAACAAATTAAAACTATTAATAGACGACTATTGTAAATATAAATAATACTTAACAAAGATTTAAAAAAAAAAAAATTACACATATTTTTTTTTACATATATTAAAAATTTATTTTGTCTTTAAAAAAAAAACATTTACGTTTGACCTATTTTACCTATTATTATTATTACTATATACCTGTTAACCGTGTCATTTTTTAAGGTAATCACCAAAAAAAAATAAAAAAATAAACTCATTAAACAATGATTTAAATTTTTTATTAATAAATTCATTGAGAGAATATTTATATATATTGGCCATAAATGTCTTCCATGTTGGAAGAAAACAATAATTTTTTTTTTCAACCTTGAAAATTTTTTTATAACTTAAAGATATATGCAAAGCTTATTCTGCATTATTCATTCATTCATTCAATCATTCATTCAATCATTCATTCATTCATTCACTTAATAAAAAAAAAAATAAAGTAAAATGTTCCTCTCTCTCTCTCTCTCTCGTAGTCTCACATGTAAAAAAAATGTTTTTGTAATGACTTTTGACCTTTTTTTTTTTATTAAATTAAATAAATTTTAATTTTTCATTTTTAATTCATTTATTTTCGATAGAATTGCAAATTTCAACAATCCGCCATTTTTTTTTTTTTTAAAAAAACGATTAATAACTCACTAAAAATTTTATTTTTTACATAAATAATTTTAAGGGGAAGCAGAAAGAAAGAGAGAGAGAGTGTGTGTGTGTGTTAAAAATAAACTAAAATTCATTATTAAAAACTTTTTAAAACTGTTTTATTTATAGCAAATTTTTTTAAAGTTTCGAAACTCTTTGATATCTAGTAGAAAATGACAAGAAAAAAAAAATGTTTTTGTTTGCAGAGGAACAAAGAGCAACAAACAAAATTTTTTTTTTTAGCCATTTATTACAAAACAATTTTTGGGATTTTTTGTTTTTTTTATTTATTTTTCGACATTATGTAATTGTTTAATAACAAAAGAATATTTATTTGGTTTTAAAAAAACAAAAAAAATTTTTTTAAATATCCATCATTCAAATTTAAAATCAAATGATCGATTATGCAAAAGTAATTAAGGTTAAAGAAATAAAAAGAATGATGATGATGATGATAATAAAAAGTACATATTCTACCAAACGGTACATATTTTTTTTTGTAATTATTATTATTATTTTTGTAAAATTTTTATTTCAAGGGTAATTAAATAGAGTAAAAGAGTCAAATCACAGGGGGAAATTTGCAACGCACAGGGAATCCCCTCAGAAAAAATTAAAAATTTCTTTTTTTTTTTTTTTCAGGAGAACAAAGAAAAGTTTAACGAAATATGACTGATTAATATTTTTTATAACTGTAAATTTTTACTTCCTAATTTTTCCTTCTTTTCTTCTGCTTTTAATGGATAACCGAAAGAAAATTAAATTTCCTACCCTATCCTGTTACCCCAACCTGTCGCTGAGTTTTCATTATTATCGAAATGATTTTAATGGTTACGTATATACATCCGCCATATTTATTTTCACAAATTTAAACTTTTGGATAATTAATTTTGTTTTGTTTGCATCATTTTCCGTCTTTGTTTCGTCTATAAACCGTTTTGAAAGTTTTGGCGAAACCGATGTGTCATTAAATGATGATATCTTCTTAGAAATTTTCCTTTTAGGTTTACTCACATTAGATTTCATCTCTCCATGAACCAAAATTTTCACGTCCGACGTATTCCTTACCCTTAATTTGTACTATTCGAAAAACAAAAACGTAGCATTACAACGGTAATATATACGGTTGGCCAACCATGGATGAAACGACATATTCGGAATCGTTAATACAATTTTTTTTGCCAAAAGTCTAAAGGAGGAAGAAGAAGTCTTAAGTTGAAAGAACCAGATTTAACCTTATCAGTCAAATGTGAAAGAGTGTCCGAAGCAAAAGGATAGAAAAAAACAAAAGAAAAGAAAAAGTTTGGACAAACAACAACAACAACAAATGCAAAAAGTGATTTTTTAAATTTATTATCACGATATGTGATAAAAAAACATTTTGTGTTTAGTTTGAACATACTTTTTTTTTTTTTAAAATGTTTTTGTTGTTTTTGTTTTTGTTTGCAAAATTTGCCTTCTCACAAGATACCACCAACATTGAGGTGAGTACCAACATTATTAACTATTTCATATAACATTCATTCATTCATTCACAAACGAATTGTTTGAATTAAAATTTTTTTTTTAACCGAAGAATGAATTTCGTTATGTAATGATAATAATAATAATAATACACGGATTTTGTAAATAATATGAGAATTTTACCAAAAGGGGGGATTTCATAGTCGGGATATGAAGAAAATTTTTTTTTTTTTAGGGTAACAACGAAAGTTTAGAAGAAGCTTTACAATTTCTTCGAGAATATGATGTTGAAGGAAGCGCCATATGTACAAGAGTAACATTGGCACAATGGAATTTCAGTACAAACGTATCGACAATAAATAGAAAAAAAATGGTTTGTTATAATAAATGTGGCAATGATTATGGCAGAACGGTAATTTTTCGTCACGGACGAAATGTTATAATAAAAATGGTTATGTTTTATGTTGTTGTACAGGTGATGGAACAAACATTATACGACAAATTTCAAAAATTATCACGGAGGAAAGCAACAGAATTTGCATGGACGAAACTTCCCGATCCGGATGTCAGGCGACAAATGAAAAAATTAATAACACAAGGAAGATTTTCATTACACGACGATCAATTTAACGAAGTAAAGGAAAAAAAAATTTATGCGAGATCAACGTAGTTTGCAGACGACAATTTTAGCTGATTCTTGCAAAAAATAATTTTTTTTAAAAATTTATTTCAGCTCAAGGACGTTATAAGTCAAATGAAAGAAATTTACACGAAAGGTACAATATGTCCGTACAATAAAAATCCAGTTTATTGCGATCAAAAATTGGAACCGACATTAACGAAAATAATGGCAAAATCAAGAGACTATCACGAATTGTTACACGTTTGGAAATCGTGGAGGGATGCTGTTGGACCCCCGATAAGACAAAAATACATAAGATATGTAGAATTGGCAAATCAAGCTGCCAGATTAGATGGTGAGACACACGTTTCATTTATTTTTTTTTAGTTAAGGTTATATTAATCCTTAAATTCCTTTCTTCGTAAGGTTTTAACGATGCTGGAGATCAAATGAAATCCGTTTATGAAATTCCAAATTTCGAAGATCATTTATCTGAATTATGGAACATGATCGAACCTTTTTACAAACAACTACACGCATACGTCAGGAGAAAACTTATTAAATTTTACGGATCGAAATATATACGTCACGATGGTCCGATACCAGCTCATCTTTTGGGTATACCTTAAATTTCCTTTTTTTCTCCCTGGAATTAATATTATAGGAAAAAAAAAATTCATTTATTCATTTTCTTATTTAGGTAACATGTGGGCACAATCTTGGAAAAATATCGAAGAATTAATTATTCCTTATCCCGGAAAAACAATCGGTGATATCACACCCGAATTGATAAGACAAGGTTATAATCCGCTCAGGTAAATTTTTTTTTTTTATAATAAAAATAAAAATGTTTAAAAAAATTGAAATTAAAATGGATTATCGCTTTTAGGATGTTTCAAGTTGCCGAAGAATTTTTTATATCCCTTGGATTAAAGCCAATGCCTCCAGAATTTTGGAGACATTCACTTTTAGAAAAACCAATCGGTAGAGAAGTTGTTTGCAGAGCTTCGGCGTGGGATTTTTGTAATAAAATGGATTATAGGTTTCTTTTATATCTTCACATATTTTAAACCGACGCAAAAAACATAAAATATTATTATTATTATTATTGTTTTTTTTTTTCAGAATAAAACAATGCACAGAAGTCACGATGGAAGATTTTCTAACGATTCATCACGAAATGGCACACATCGAATATTATTTACAATATGCAGATCAACCTTATTTATATAGAGAAGGAGCGAATCCAGCATTTCACGAAGCTGTTGGTGATGTCATAGTACTTTCCGTTCAAACACCCAGACACCTTCAAAGAATCGGTCTTTTAAATAACATAACCGACGATTACGGTACCCCCCTAAATTTTCTAGCACCCCATAAACAAAAACAAAAAAATGTCAAAAAAATTTAATTTAATTTTAATAATCGTTTTCCAGAAACGAATATAAATTATTTATTATCCATGGCATTGGAAAAAGTGGTTTATTTACCGTTTGCATATATAGTAGACAAATGGCGGTGGAACGTTTTTGCAGAAGGGATTAATAACATGAATTCAAAATGGTGGGAATTGAAATTAAATTATCAAGGATTGATACCACCCGTGCCTAGAAGCGAATCTGATTTCGATGCTGCTGCTAAATATCACGTAGCTTCCGACACTCCTTACATAAGGCAGGGGGAAAAACAATAATAATAATAATAATAATATTTTCTAAATCGGGCGCCATATTGATTTGAAATTTTTTAAAATAAAAACAGGTATTTTTTAAGCGTCATAATACAATTCCAGTTGTACGAATCTTTATGCGAAGCTTCGGGGCATTATGGACCACTTCATACCTGTGACATTTACAGATCGAGAGAAGCCGGACGTTTGCTACGGTAAATATTTTTGCTAATGTTTAATTATTTTTCATTCTAGAAAGTTCCACGATTAAAAAAAATTATTATTTTTTCTTTTCTTTCAACACGACACCCGAAGAGAAATATTACAATCTGGATCTTCTCGTTCTTGGTCTGACGTCATCAACGTTATGACGAAAGGAAAAATAAAAAAAATTTCAGCAAGTTCTTTATTGAATTATTTTAAACCTTTGTTAACCTGGTTGGAAGTACAAAATAAAGAAGAATTATACGTTGGTTGGACTACCGGTCCTCACGATACCGGTAAGATTATGGATGACGTCATCACAAGACGGTGATCCCGAATATACTACACGAAGGACGTAATAATTAATTTTCTCTTTTCAGCTTTGTTTGCGGATTGGTACAGGAGCGGAAAAGGAAAAATTTCCATTACGTTTTTCCCTTACCTTATTTTTTTTCTCCTTTTATTTTTTATCAAATGAATAACTAGAGTACTTACTCTAAATAAAAAAAAAAAAAAACATTTTCAAACCTCCGAATGAAATTTATCACGGCACTTCAAGGATACCTAATTAAAAATATTCAATCAACCGTGTTCAAAACACTAATTAATTATTATTATTATTATTATTTTAAATATAGTTTCCTTTTTTTTGTTTGTTTGCGTGCGTTTATAGATATACACTCTCTCATTTTAACCAACCATTTTTTTTTTGTCCTTTGTCTTTCTTCTTATTTATATACTCACCTCTCACTTTCCTTATAACAACAAAGACAAGGAATCATATTAATCAATTATCAAAGGAAAGAAATACAAAAAATAAAAAATAAAAAAAAAGGAAAAATTAATTCCAACAATTAAAAACAACTCTTCTTTATTTAAAAGTTTTTTTTTTTAATTATGACCAAGTGTTTCATATTTTTCTCCTTCGCGTAAGGGCTGTGGAGTTCAATTGCCTCTGACCTAACTAAACGTTCTCAGCGTCTATCAAACACTAAAATAATAATAATATTTATAAAAAAAAAAAAAAAAAACGTAAACGTAAACGCGTACGGCAGGCACTTCTTCGAAATCATTTTACGTTCGTTTTTAGCTCGACCGAATCTTTCGGAAAAGCCCCAGCAAACTTTTCAACGACTTCAAAAGAATTACAAAATTTGATTTACCGAAAAAAAAAAAAACATCATCATCATTATCATCATTAATAAAATAACGATCAAATCCGATTTTAATCATTTTTTTTTTTTTCTCCACATTAAACAAGCCGTGGGGGGGGGGAAATCCACTCCTCCTCTCCCTCCCTCCCTTTCCATACAATTTTAAAATTTCTTAATCGACCAAACCGAGTAAAAGTAAAAAAAAAAAAAAAAAAATTAAATTAGTAATGATAGTAATAGTAAGAGTAGTGGTAGTGGTAGTGGTAGTAGTAGTAGCAGAAGTAGTAGTAATAATAATAATAATAATAATACAATTATTTTTTAGTGCAAACATTATTCAAGAATCAACCGAAACTCGATTTAACAATGGTGGGAGATTGCGGAAATTCAATTGCGAGACCCGAGAACATTTACAGAAGCACCTGAACACAAACAAAAATCCTTTCCTTCTTCTTATACGTACTTTAACTCTCACGTATGTAACCACACACGCACGCACACGTGCAAAGATACGCGTAGTACACGAAAAAAAAAAAATGTTCACGTGTATACAATTTTTTTTAATTACACACGCACACGTTCTTATCGTCCTTTTGTTTTTTTTTTTTTTTTTTTTTAAAACCTATTCGATATATAAAAAAAACAACATTTTCCACGTAACACCCACAAAGGTTTTGTTTAATAAATCCTTTCTTTCTTTCTTTCTTTTTCTTTTTTTTTTTCCCTTTTTTTTTTTTTGTTTTTAATCCTACGTATAATCTTAAGTCCTACAATTCCTTATCAATGGCTAACCCTAAAAAATTCAGTCATTAAATTTATATAATTTTTTTTTTTTTTTTTTTTTTCGGTTTTAAAAAAAAAAAAAAAAAGGTTAAAGAAGTAAAATAAAAAAAAAAAAAAGGGGGGGGGGGGGGGGAGAAAAAAAAAAAAGAAAAAAAATTGTTTTTTTATAAACCCTCTTTTTTCGTTTAAAGATTTAAGTTTTTCTTTTTTTCTTTTTTTTCTTTTTTTTTCATTTGAAGCTGTCACATAATTTTTTTTTTGAAATCGTTCTGCCTACTTGATTATATATAATGATAATAATAATAAATTAATTAATAATAATTAATCAATAATAATTAATCAATAATAATAATAATAATAATAAAAAAGACAGAAAAAAAAAAAAAAAAAGATTTCCCGACTTTGAGGATGGGACATATATATATATATATCTCGATCACGTAATGTAGACACCCCAGGGCAACGTAACTAAGTCTTTTGGAAGAACTCCACAACCCTCAGACAAAGTATAATTTACTTAAGTTACGACTTAAGTACAACAAAATCGTTATCCATCACGATACTCGGTATTTCTTTTAACTTTTGCATAAATTTACTTTTCTTTTTGTCTGAATTTTCGCAATTCATTGCTTGACTATGAAGTTTGAGTACTTTTTTTTGTAGTTTTTGAAGTTGAATTCGGCTATCTTTAGCGTCCTGTTGCAAAACGTTCATAATTGTCGCTTTCCAATCGAAATTTTCCTGGCTCGACGCGGCGTCCGTTTTCACCTTTTTGGGCTTTGAAGCGGCTTTTTCACCTTCACCCTGCTGATTATTATTACTCTTGGGGGGTTTGACTGCTTGCTTTGACGCGGTTTTCGGCGACTCTTGTTTCTCCGCAATGTTCTCCTTGTTTTCGGACTTCTTCGGTTTTTTCTCCTTCTTTGCCGCGGTGGCGTCGCCACCTGCTGCAGCTTTCACCTTGTCGTCGCTCGGCTTAGCATCCGGAGTAGCAGCTTTTTTTACTTTTTTCCCTCCTGCAGAACCCTCATCCTTTGCTGTTCCTTGATTCCCCGTGCTGCTTTGATTTTCAGATGATTTCTCTTGTTTTTTCTTTTTTTTTTTCATACCTGCTTCACCTTGATCTGGAACAAAATCGTTTGATTCAGTCTGACAACTGTCGTCAGCTTTTCTCTTTCTATTAATCTTTTCCACTGCGGACTCAATGTCATCTGTTAACATATCAATATCATTATTACCTTCAACTTTCTGAACCTTTTGCTGCTCGTCTGCATTCTTTTGTTTTTTCTTTTTTTGCTTATCGGCCTTGCCCGCATCTGCGTTGTCTACAGGCTTTTCTTCTTCGTTTGGCCTTTTCCTTTTCTTATCTTTCTTAGCTGTGTTGTCATCGGGTTTGGCATTATTTTTAGCTACGCTCTTGGACTCTTGTTTGGCATCCTTCTGTTGTTTTTGTTGTTTGGGGTCTTGTTTTACTTTTGGTTGCTGTTGTTGTTTGGACTCTTGTTTAGTTTTTGGTTGTTGTTGTTGTTGCTGTGTGGACTCTTGCTTGGGCTTTTGATTTTGTTGTTTAGACTCTTTCTTGGGTTTTTGATTTTCTTGTTTGGACTCTTGCTTGGGTTTTTGCTGTTGTTGTTGTTGTTGTTTCGAGTCTGGTTTTGCTTGCTTTTGTTGCTTTCCTTCACCCTTTTCAGACTTGACATCTCCCTTTTGTTGCTTGACTTCTCCCTTTGATGGTTTTTTCTCCTTGGAATCTCCCTTTTTCTCCTTTTGTTGTGTTACCTCATCTTTAGATGGTTTTTGCTGTTTAGAATCAGATTTAGATTGCTTGACTTGCTTCCCATCTTCTCCCTTTTGCTTAGATTCATTCTTGGACTGTTTGGATTGTTTTGGATCTTGCTTGGGATCTTGTTTGGATTGTTTTTGCTCATTAGAGTCTTGTTTTACAGGTTTAGTTACTTGCTTACTTGTAAGTTGTTTTTGCTCTTTATTAGCTTCAGCAGCTTCTAAAAATCATAAAAAAAATATTAATAATTTTTGTTTAAATTTATCGGGTGAAAAAAATAAATAATATTTTTAGCATTTACCCTTTGAAACTTCCGTAAAAACAACTTGAATTTCTTCCCATACTCTATCAATTAAGTCATTTTTAGTGGCATATTGCCTAAAAGCGTTAGTCACAAAATTAACGAATTTAACCTTTTTTCTAGGAACGTTATTATATTTACTAATGACCTTAATAAAGTCTCTCTCATCTGGTTTCAGTGTAGATTTTTTTAACACCGTTTGCATACACTCATGCCATACCTGCTGCTTCAGATCACCTAAGCATAAAAAAATTGAAAATTACCAAAAATCGTGTTCGCGAAGGAATCAAATAATTAAATTTCTTAAAATCTAGGGTAATTTTCAATACCTTTGTTATCAGTGGTCTTGGCTTTACTTCCCTTCGCGGAGTATCTTTCGTTCTCCGTCACGCATTTGGTATGAGATTCAACCTCATTACCCTTGAAATCTTTAAGACAATCCATGCAAGTTAGACTTAAATTCTTAATCTTGCATTTGGTTTGCTTATGTTTCGCCACTGCTGTTTTCTTAACTGAGTCCCCACAATTAGAGCAAGTAAAAACCACCATGGTCGGGAATATTCAAGCCTAAAATATAAGATTCCCTCAATTGAGAACAAGAAAACTAAAAACTAAAGTGCAATTTAAAAGTACTTTAAAGATCTATCAGTGTATTTATCAGATAATGTAAAATTATTGGCAAGCTATGGACCTCCGCGTTTAATTTGTACAACAAACAACTTTCAGAAAAAAATGTGGCCGGTGTGAGCTCAATTTTCTACAGCTAATAAAAACCGTTATTTAATAATAAAAAAAATGCAGCCTTTTGAATAAACAAAAGAAAACGACCAAAATATTTAATACTCACGTATACAAATGAGTAAAAAAGAAGTAATATAGCTTAAAAATTAAAAAATAATAACTATTTGTCTCTCACATGCGCCATGCATTGAACAAAAAATGGCGTTAATTTTGACGCAGACAATTTCTACGATTTGCTACTACAAATATTCTTTTTTAAAAGCAGGAAAGCACGTTTAAAAAGTGATAATTTAAAACGAAATAGAATAAAAAGGTTAAAGGAAAACTAAAAATATTCAATAAGATATTTTTTACATCTGTTTATTCCATTAAGGAAAAGAGTATCTTTTGCAAAAAATAAATAAAAAGTGTGCCCCAAATTTTGCTACGAATCAGTGTCTCATTGAGCCTAATTTCTAAACAACGTCAATCGTAAAATGACGTGTGTCTATTTTATTATTGTGTTATAACTGTGTCAGAATACTTCGTTTTTGATCATTTTTTTTTAACATTCAAATTGGTAAGTTTAAAAATTAATTAACTTAACTTTTAAAAGAAAACTACTTGCAAATTATTTAATTTTTATTTCATTTTACTCCACTTTTTACAATGACTATTGTGAAATTTGTAAAATCATATTTTTTTAATATTTTAATTATTTTAAATGATAAAAAATCAATCGGCGTGTATTATTTAATGATAGTTTTTAATTTATTCTAATTATTATTATTAATATTGTTTAAAATCTATCAAAACGTTGTTACATTGGTTAGTAAAATTAAAAATTTTAAAAAATGTTTTTAAGGAAACTGCTTAATTGGTAAATAAAATTAAATTTTAATTCACTTAAATTTTATAAAATGCTCTAACTATAATATCTTAGTTTTATTTATAAACATTAAATAATTAAATGATTCATTTAACATTATTAAAATTTGCTATTACTCGATTTCTTAACATTTACAAAAACCAATTTATTTTATATAAATTTAATCTAAACCTTGAATACAATGCAAAAAAAAACTTATTTAATATTATTCGGCTCATTACATTTAAATACAGTTCTGACTAGTTAGGGGTTTACACATAAATGTGGTAAATTTTTTTAAAACTTTTATAGGTTTTCGATTTGCTGCATGAAGTGAGTAAAAAATTTAAAAAATTATAAATTTTAACTACTATTGAACTAAACATGAATATAAATCTTATGGTTGCATTCTTTACGTATCGCTGTTCACATTCATATTTATTTAATTTTAAATTATTAATTATGTTGATAGATATATGATTGAATTCGAGAGAGAGAGAGAAAGAGAGAATATTATAAAAATTGATTTAATAATTTTTTTCGATAAAAGTTAAAAATATATATGTGAGGATACAATTTTAATATTTTTATGTGTACGATTTAGAAAAATTTAAATGATTTTAAAAATAATATAATTTCATCGCATTTATATTTAAATTTAGAATTTCATCATCTCTTGACATTTTAATTCATCATTTATTACAAATTTTTTTATTACTTATATCAATGCATCACCATTTTTATTTTTATAAAATATAATTTTTTTTGAAGCCCCTCCCCCCCAAAAAAAAATTAAAATATACAAGAGATTTGAAAACAAAAACTGCACCTTGTGGCGACCTTCTCCTCCTCCTCCTACTTCCTTGAAATTATTAACTGACACAATTTTTACGATTATTTATGTAGAGTTGCCATTTTTTTTTTTTTTTCTCCATCGGGCTTTTTTTTTCGAATTAATTTTCCTTTTCCATTTTCCTTTTCTAAAATTCTCTTTGTAATCACGTATTTACTCTTGTTTTACATTCGTTATTTATTACCTTGTTTTTTTTTTTAAATGTGATGAAATCGTTACGTTATCATTCGCGGTATCGACGAATCATAAAAATAATTTTAATAATAATTTTTATTTAATTTTTATATTATTCTTTATTTATAGTAAACGACGACAGGAATAAGTATAATCGCAACAGCCTCTTTGAAAAAAATTATTTTAAATAATTTGATGGGGGAAAAAAAAGAAAAAAATGCATACGTAATAGCAATTAAATTTTTTTTTTTTTTTTTTTTTTCCAGTTAATAATTAAATTTAATAATAACCTGTTGTTAGCTATGAATTCTTATTATTATTATTATTAATTTATCAATCAATCAATTAATGAAACTAAAATGGCGTTAAAAATAATTTTTAATAAGCGTTAAACTATTTTATCGTTATTTATTTATTTTTATTTTTTTTGCACATTTTAAACTTTAGTTTAATATTCCATAGTCCGACATTAAAATGTGTTTTTGAATTTTTCTTATTTTTTTATTTTATTTTTTTTTTTTTTATAAAAACAATACTCGAAACGTGAAAAATCGTAAAAAAATAATAATAATAATAAAAAAGCGAATGAAAAATTATGTAACGTGTTAGTTAATTCGCCTCCAGGAGTTAAACAAGGTTTATTAATTAATAATTTTTTATTTTATTTTTTTTTCGAGTTAATAATAAAACAACAGGTTGTTGCACATATAATATGCGCTTATGTATTTTTTTTTTTTTTTTTTTTTATAAATTTTATTATTAGCATATTTAATTTATTTTTTGACTTTGAAATTTTTTTTATAATTATTAATTATTTTTAAATAATTAATTAATAAATTCTCGATGAATTTAAATCGATTGAACGCTCTTATAAAATATTTATAAACTTGAAAACATTTTTTAAAAACAGTAAAAGAAAAATTAATTTTAATACAATCGAATTTCACTTTTTACAATTTTAATAATAATATTAATTTTAGAAAATAGGAAAGTGAACATAACAATAACAATAATAATAATAATAATAGTGTAAAAGTTTCACAAAGTCGAATAACAAAAAAAAAATTTTTTTTTTGTAAAACTTTTTTCACAGAGTAACAAATGAATCGTTCGTTCTCGAAACAATCGAAAGTTTAAAACAAAACAAAACAAAACAAAACAAAAAAAAAAAAAAACATAAAAAGGCATATATAATTTAATCACTCAGTTACTGTTTCATTGAATCATTTTTTTTTTCTTTTTTTTATTGTTAGAAAGATACGAATAAAATTTAAAACATAAAAAATAAATAAAAATAAAACAATGAAATTGATTATTATTATTATTATTACGTGTAAAAATGCCTGATGAATGTTTTTTTTTTTTTTTTTTTTTTTTTTTACATAACGTTTTATAAATATGTTTTTTTGTAAATATTATTATTTTTTTTTTTTTTTGGTGATGGGTAATTTTTAGTTTTTTATTTACACGTTGATTATCATTTTTTAAATGTTGTTGTAGTTGTTGTTGTTGTTGTCGTTGTAGTTGTTGTTGTTGTAGTTGTAGTTGTTGTTGTTGTTGTTGTGGTCGTAGTCGCGACTTGTTACCGTCGTTCATCCTGCCCCAAAGTTCAAAGTTTTATTTTTTATTTTTATTATTATTATTATTACTCGTTTTAATATTTCATTGAGAAATTTATAATGAATTAGAGGATTGGGGGGGAGGGGAGTTGTCAGTTTGTTTGTTCTGATGTGGTGGTTGCCTGTTAGTCTCAGCCTACCTTTATTCAACCTTCTGGTGTAAGCCTAGGTGTCAAATATACTACTACGTTGCCTACTTTTTTTTTTTTTTTAATACATTTTTTATTCATAACCTTTAAAACAAACAAAAAAAAAAAAAGCTTTGAAGGATAACAACAAACACGTTATAGGTCATGATTTGTTTTTGATTTTTTTTTTTTTTTTTTTACGAATATTTTATTTGAATTTTTTTTTATTTATTTATTCTATGACTTAAATTAGTTAAAGGAAATGACCCTTTGTTATTGTAGTAGGAATCGAAATTTTTTTTTTTTTTTTTAAATCGTATTTAATTCATTTAAATTGATTTCATTCATGCAATTTTAGAATGAAAATGTTGTTTGACTTGATTTACTTTTTTTTTGCTCTCGTTAACTAGACTATATGTAATTACGTACTAAATTTTTTTTTTTTTTTTTTCATTTTCATTATAAATTTTGTTTTCTTCTGCTTCATCTCCACACAAAATGGCTTTTTTTTCAATGAGAAAATTATTTTCATAAAAAGAGAGAGAAAAACTTTGTTTCATTGTCAACATCATTTACTCATTTAAAAAAAAAAAAAAAAAAAAAAATGGCGACGTATAATAATTTCTTTTTAAACTTTTGATTTTATTACTTTAATGTGGGGGGGAGGGGAAGGGGGATTTTATTTCATAATTAATAAAATTATTTTGTAAGTTTATTATAAAAGCTTTTAAGTGTAAATGTCAAAAATAATTGTTGTTGCTGCTGTTGTCGTTATTATTAAAATTGGGGAGACTCGAAAAATACGGGACGATTTTGTTACATTGATGGAATTTAAAAGATTTTTTCTCCCTACGATGGAATGGCTTTTTCAAAAAGCTTTTTTTTTTTTTTTTTTAATCGTTAAATAGAATGAAAGAGGATTTTATTTGATTGCAATGAACGGTAGCAAAGTTTTCTAAAAAGTTTTTTTTTTAAGATGGATTTTGTTTGTTAAAATCTGTTTTTAAAGTTTTCTCTCTCTCTCTCTCTCTCTCTCTTTTTGTGATTAACGTTTACAGTCAGTGTCGTGTGTTAATTTAACTCATTTTTTTTTTTTTTTTTAAATTTTGTATATCAGTCGTGCCAATCGTAAAAATTAAAATCACGTTTAAAAACAAAACGGATAAATTTGGATTAATTTGTTATCA